CCTTAATCCATCCACCAGGGCTGTGCCCCAGTCAACTCTTTTTTTGACCTCACTATGTAGCCCAGGCTGGCTTGGAGCTCAAGGAGATCCTCCTGCCTCAGCCTCCTGAGTGCTGGGATTACAGATGTCTGCCGCCACACCTGGCATACCAGTCAACTCTGATTACCTCCAGTCAGCTCTTAACACAGCTCCCACGGCGGGTACCCTGCAGCAGGAATTTTGGAGGGGACATCAGGTCCCAGCAGGGACAGCCCCAAGACCCAGCTCGGCACCAGGACCCAGAGAACCTTCCATCTCAGCTCCTGTTTCCCCTTTTCACTAAGTTGAGACTTCCTACTCCCTGAGCTGGTTTTACATTGACTGGGGGTCAGACGCTTTTCCTGGGAGCCCCAAACAAGCTCCGACTGCGGGGATCTGTGCGACGAGCCACCCCCAAGCCCACAGGACACCGGGGCTGAGGCCAGGCACCTGTAGGAGCAGGATGGTCACCTCGCCCCTGCTGACCAGAAATGGGCCTTGTGCAGGCGCAGCTCACGGGGTGGGGCGGGTGGGGCTGATGGCTGCAGAAGAGGCAGGCGGCTTCCTGAGGAGGTGGGGACGGTTTCACTGTCTCGCCGTGGCAGCAACCCGGCCCGTCCACTGCAGCTCTAGCCCCTGTCTCTCGCGGGCCAGACAACGGGTGCGAGGTCGACTCCAAAAAGGTAAATAGCAGCTGTGCAGGGAAGGCACTCTAAGGGATCAGCAACCGTCACAGGTAAGGAAGCGAACCAAACCCAAGAGGCCACCAGGAAGATCAGGGCCCAGGACCCGCCTGCCGGGAGTGCAGAGCCGAGACCACGCAGGAGGAAGCAGCACGAGACCACGCAGGAGGAGCGGTCCACAAACCAGGAGTGGGTGCTCTTTGAAAATGCCAGTGTTGGGGCCGGGGCAACTCTGAGGTAGGAGCTTGTCTAGGACCTGGAGGTTCTGGGTTCTGTCCCCAGCACCGTGGGGAGGGGAGCACCAAAAAGGTCAATGTTATAAACTCGTCTTCTGTTTTTTTTTTTTTTTTTTTGGTACCAGGAATCGAACTCACAACCTCATGCTTGGTGGGCAGGCGCTGTACCGCTGAGCTACATCCCCAGCCCTTCTTCTGGTTTTTTGCTTTGTGTTTTGAGACAGGATCTCACTATGGAGTACAGGCTGGTCTTGAACTCACTATGTAGCCCAGGCTGGCTTTGAACTCACAGCAATCCTCCTGCCTCAGCCTCCTGAGTGCCAGGATTATACGCCCGGCTGAACTTGCCTTCTGAAAATACATACAGAAGAGCTTAGGGGTGAGATGCATCATGTCTGCTACTCTTCAGGGCTCCAGAAAAAATAACTGTATAGGATAAAGCTAACATGGTAAATGGTAATAGTTGGGAAATCTGGAAAGATAAACATAAATGATTGTTCATTATAATTATTATGTGCTTGTGTGTGGTGCTCAGGATAGAACTCAGGGCCTCAAGCAGGCAAGGCAAGAGTTCTACACTAGTCGGGGATATAGCTCAGTGACACAGCATCTGCCTGGCCAGTGCAAGGTCCTGAGTTTGATTCCCGATACCACCCCCCAAAAAAGTTTTACACTGAGATATATCCCCAGCAATTGTATTTTAATTAAAAAAAAGTCATTGGTGGGTGTGGTGGGGCATGCCTGTAATTGAAGCACTTGGGAGGATGAGGCAGGAGGCCCACGGAGGCCACTTGAGAGTTCCAGGCCAGCCTGGGCTGCATGGTGAGACCCTTATCTTTAAAAAAAAAAAAAAAAAATCAAGGCCAACAGACCAGATAGACGCGTAAAAGGACATAGACCTTGTTGAGATCTGAACCAGGTTCTGGCTCTGAGCCTCCCACCTACTAGCTACCAGGTCTTGGGCCACCTCCCTTGTCTGCTGGGAATGCAGGTGACTGCCCTGTCCACCTGGCAGGGTCACTGGTGATGTGTGGCTAAGGGATGCACAGCTGCCTGAGAAACAGCAGGCCAGGGGCAGCTCCTGAGGAAGGGTCAGGCTGTCCTGTGGTGAGGACAGGAGCCCTGTTCGGTATTGAGAGGGAACCAAGGCCACACAGGTGCTGGGAGCTGCGTGTGTGTGGGACACCGTCCTCTCCTGTGTTTCCAAGCCTGTAGTCAGCGACAAGGTGAGCTCTTTTCTCTCCACATTCTATCCCCGCATTCCAACATACACCCAGGCAAGCTGGTGATGGCCTGCCATAGGCCGAGGCAGGAGGATCACAAGTTCAAGCCCAGCCTGGGCAGCTTGGCAACTTAGTGAGACCCTGTCTCCAAATAAAAAATTTTAAAAAGGGCTGGCAATGTAGCTCAGTGTGAAGGCCCTGGGTTCAATCCTCAATACAGCAAACATAAAACAAAAAACATCGATGACTTGGTTCACAGTCAGTATTTAGTAGCTGATGACATTTCAGGAGGGAGCGTGGTCTCACTGCTTCCCTACTGCCGGACCCTGAGGCTGCTTCTGGATTCCCACTCTGACCTCAGGCTCCTCGGGACACACGCTGCGTGTGCTGTGACGCTCTCACTCGGCCGGGAACAGGATTAGCGGGTCAAGGGGTACGAGCCCAATACTTTCTATGAGGTTTACTTCAATTTGCAATGCCCCTGGCAATGTAGAAAAATACCAACTTCATGAAGATTCTCACATCAATATTCTTACTATTTTTCTTTTTCTTTTTTTTTTTTTGGTACCGGAAATCCAACTCACAACTTTGTACTTGCCAGGCAGGTGCTGTGCTGGTGAGCTACATCGCTGGTTCTGTTTTTTCTAATTTCATGTGACAGTGTACCTCATTGTTATATAATTTGTATTATTCTGAGTATTAAAAGGGCTAAACTAAAAAAAAGAGGGGGGCTAAGCTTTTTCCATGTATTTAATCAATTGCTTTTACTATTTTGCTGAATGTATCCTTTGGCCATTTTTCAGGATCTTTGTGGGGTTTTGGGTTTTTTTTTTTTTTTTGTCTTTTTTGAGACAGGGTCTCGCTATGCAGTTCAGGCTGACCTTGAGCTCACTTTGTAGCCCAGGCTGGCCTCGAACTCGCAATGATCCTCCTGCCTCAGCCTCCCGAGTGCTGGGATTACAGCCCTGCACCACCATACCTGGCTTGTGTGGGTTTTTTAAAAAGTAAATTCCTAAAAACATTTATAAAACAGAGATAGATAACCACCTTTGTGTTGTCACATTTTAAAATATTTTCCAGAGCCAGGTGCAGTGGCACACGCCTGTAATCCCAGAACTGAATCGCTAACGTTTGGGGCCAGCCTGGGCTACATAGGGAGTTCCAGGCCAGTCTGAACTACATAGTGAGATCTTGCATACAAAACCAAAGCAAACCAGAGCTTTGCTAGACTGGAAGGTTGGGAGAATAGGGCTGATGTTCAGAGAGTGGATGACTGGGTCTAGATATTCCATATCAACAGATTCCTCAGCAACAGTACCTGCTGCTCTAAAGAATTACACTGAAGGGTCCTTAGCAAGGTTGTTAGCAAAACAGCTGGGAGGATCTGGGTCAATAAATGAACCTGTTGGACAGGTTTTACCGATTCCTTTAAACTGGCCTTGCCAGGAGGAAGCCCTTCCTAAGCAACACAGAAAACCCTTCCGCAGGGTCCCTGATGAGCAGTGCGAGGAAAGAACTGCCAGCTAGGATTTGTTCAGAAATCTCTCTTCTAGAGGAGCTGCCTATCACTGGGACCAATTTATCATTTATGAGATACACTGCAGGAACGTTTTTGTAAAGAGAAAAGGGGAAAGAGAAAGGGTCTTTGCAAAGCGAGGTGCAGTCTGGGCTCCTTTAGGTACCTATGAGTCCCCCTGTTTTCGAAGGGAGCTGGGCTCTGCCCCAAGGGACCAGGCGGATGAGCTGGGGGTTGAAGGAAGGGAGGAACATTTTGACTCAAAACAGTTGAGAATCATTGTGAGTTCGAGACCAGCCTGGGCTACAAAGTGAGCTCAAGGCCAATGTGAACTGCATAGCGAGACCCTGTCTCAGAAAGGCCAAAACAAATTAACTAAAAAACAAACAAAAAATTTAGAGCCAGGCGTGGTGATGCACACCTGTCATCCAGCACTTGGGAGGCTGAGGCAGGAGGATCGTTGGGAGTTAGAGGCCAGCCTGGGCTACAAAGTGAGCTCAAGGTCAGCCTGAACTGTATAGCGAAACCTTGCCTCAAAAAGACACAAAAAAAAAAAAAAAAAAAAAAAAAACCCACAAAAAACCAAAAACAAAACAAAACAAAAACCCAAAACAAAACAAAACAGTTGAGAAGCAGGTCCCTTAGTTTCTCAGGGACCAACTGGCCTCTGTCTAGCAGCTATTGGAGCCGGAGGTCAAGTGACTCCCCCAGCTTGTTGCTCAGTGTGACACCCAGGTGACTGCTCACTACCAAAGTGCTGACGCTCTGCTCAGTCCATGGAAAGCGCTCAAGTTTTTAATAGAAAGGACCTATAATTAGGGCAGTCGGTGGCGCTGGGATGGGGGAGGAGAGGAGAACAGCCCTGGGACTCCCGCCTCCGGGAGCCTCCCACAGCCTGCAATCACAGGGACCCTGCCTGCGGATCCCTTTCGGAGATGCCCTTTGCCCCAGACCTCAGAGCTGCTGAATTCTAGAGAGCAAATCCAGATCACCCCAGAAGCGCAGGTGACTGGGGATGGAGTCTACAAAGGACCCCAGATAAAACCGGAAGGAAACCTTTGCCAGTCTTACAGCCGAGTCGGCGGGACCTGGGAGGTGCTGCCTGTGCCCCTGCGGCGCGGGTGGGGAGCTGTGGGCGCTCGGCCCAGGGTGCCGGCCACAGGGGTGCCTCCCTGTGGGCAGCGGGGACGGCCAGGCGCTGGAGCGGGAGGCGGCACAGCGTGAAGTCCCAGCGACTTCTGCGCGAGCAGGGCCAGACACGGGGCGCAAGCTCCGCCGCGGGGACCCGGGCCCGGGACCGGGAGGGACGCGGCGCGCCACCCACCTGACGGCGTGGAAGGCCCAGAACAGGCTGTCGGCCCGGGGCCCGCGCGCCGCGCGCACGATGCTCAGGTACAGGTAGAGCGCGATGGCCACGGTCCAGAAGAAGGAGCTGGTGTTGGCGAAGGAGGACAGCGCGCCCTGCAGCACGCAGTCCCACGAGGGCCCCGCGAAGTCCCGCAGCGCCCCGTAGAAGTAGGAGGCGGCCGAGAGCAGGTCGGCCAGCGACAGGAAGAGCAGCAGGCGCCGCGCACGGCTGCGCAGGTCGGGCCACAGGGCGTGCGTGGCCACCAGCAGGCCGCAGCCCAGCGCGGACAGCACGCACGACAGCAGCACCGCC